CTGACATAACAAGTTTACGCTGAGTATTACCATTCATTATAGCAGTTATGTCAATCTTTTATGCACTCGTGGGATTAACTTAGTGCTAGGGCATTGAATATCGAACAATACGTCAATTTCAATGATTTTGGGTTTTTTTGAGACACGCTGTATATGTCAATTTAAATTCTTGCATACCAATCAGCCAAGGTGCATTCCATGTAGAGTGCACGCCGAAGTTCCGCCGCTGGAAAATTTGCACACGCCGCCAGACTACCAGATTCAATTAATCTATATTATGGCAAAATTTTTCGGCGAGACCTCCACCCTCCCTCGCCAAAAAAATTTCGGTCAGTGTGCCATTTTAGGGGTCAAATATTTTTCCCCGCATTACCAAATTTTCTCCATTTATCCATTTTTTTTCTTAAATCCGAAAATTTGGTACAATTCTCTAAAATTTTTGTCAATTTAGCTCATTCTTCTCCAAATTCACACTTATTTTTGTTAATTAACTTTCTCTGGGCCTAGAAATTACCTGAATTTGTGTTCATTTACCTGAATTTCTTCTGCAAATCTACCTGGATTTACCTGAAATTTCCCACATGAGCAATTATTGGGGGGTGTGTGTTACACCCCCACACCCCCCGGTCGGCACGGCCCTGCGCGCGAATGGTTTTAGACACAATAAAACACGAGTCGCGAGTGTATTGAACGGCTTCAAAAACCAATTAGTATTCTTTATATAAGGAATACTAAGTAGGAAGTGTTTTATCAAATATGAAACTACTGCATGTAACATATTATACTTGATTTGGTTGGCAAAAAAAGATCATGAAACTGTTAAGTTATCCGATAAACAATAGAGACTTAACGACGATATTTTCTGATTGTATTATATAAGTTTGTACGCCGTTGAGGGGAAAAAAACTACGCCAGCCACGCCAACATTAGCATTTGCACGCCGCTGCGCCGTAGGGCATCGCAACTCCACGCCGAAGATCTTCGGGTTTGGCTACATGGAATGCACCCTGGCCAATCAGAATGTTTTTGTCGCAATTCCAATTATAATGTCAGTTTCACTACATTAGGAATATGCATGGTTGCAGTCCTGGATGTTTCGATGTGAAAACATTGTACTTTTTTCGTGAAATGTTTTCTTATTCTGAGAAATTATAACTGCATGCACCCATTAGCAATATCATCACCCAATGCTTTCGGTAATTTGTGTTTTGATATATAATTGTTTTTTATAGCTACAGTATTGTAGCCAACTTTGTAAGCTTAACCTTTTAAGTGGCATATTTGTGCCCTTAGCTAACGCATCCTACTTTATTATTTTACTTTGTTTAGTGCCAGACAACTTTACTTGTCAGGGGGAGAGTGCTGCCACTTACTGTCGTTCCAATTGAAGTGTTGCTCAAATATTGATTCAATACATTACCTCGGGCTGACCAATTCATTTCATCAAGTTCCTCGAAATATTCATACACTTCCTAGTATAATTGTAAACTTCCTGTTGAATAGCTTGAATGCACCAATCACCTTTGTTGTTTGTGCAACTAACCAATCATAAATAGAAAGGAAGTGACCAGAAATGATCAAATACTTGGAATTGGCTCTTTCACAGGAAGTGTATGAATATCTCGAGGAACTTGATCAAATGAATTGGTCAGCCCGAGGTAATGTATTGAATCAATATTTGAGCAACACTTCAATTGGAACGACAGTAATAGGATAATTTTGTGCATGTGAGACGAGAGTTAGAACTGCTGTCCAGAGCTCTGGTGGGTTTTTTATTAGCCTGAGCCAGAGTTGTGGTGCTTTCTCCCAGAATGACAAGAAATGTGATATTTTCATAGAGTTATTGTGTCGGTTACAAGTAATGACAATGTGAATATGTTGAAAGTACATATAATATGAAGTCATATCTGTTGTGTCAAACCACATCAGATGCTGCTTCACATCCTCTTATATCCCCAAATTATATCCCTGTTATCCGGGTTATAGACTTAATCCCCTGTGTTGTGAACCAGTTAATAGAGAGTTTAAGTTCGACTTCCGATGCCAATACCGATACCAACAACATGTCATGCGCATGCTCTCTGCTCGCAAGAAGCACAAGGACAAGTGTATTGGACGTCACCACTACCGAAGTCGGCCTTGTATTGGAAGTCGGGGGAATTGTAAGATAAACTCATATAAATCGGATATTTCATAATTTTTACGATAAACATGTAAACTATTTGTTTATTATCATCGCCTGAGTCATGTTTTAGTCGGAATTTTAGCTCAGCTGCCGTTTAGTATACCGCACATTTTCGGTGACGATTAATGTGTTATATACTTTATCTGTCGTGATAACTTAACGCTTTAAAATTCCCGGTACCAAAATGAGAACGGAAGTGAAAACATCGGTATTGGTATTGGAAGTCGAACTTAAACTCTCTAATATAGCCAGGGGGCAG